GATACATCAGCATATTGTCTTATACTACATGATAAGATTTTCGAGTATAACGCTATGACTAGCGAAGTACACAAGGTGGTTTAATTTATGAAATAAAAAATTAATATAAGTATAATATTTTTTTTAATTTAAAACAATTACTATTGTACATAATTAGTTATAATTTTTAGTTATTTATGTTTTACATTTAATGATTAAATTTAAATTTATTTACAATATTATAAATTTTTAATATAATGATAAATTTATTTATTACTATTGTTATTAAAATAGTTAATTAACTTTNGATAGTGATTTTAATCACTGTCAGATTAAATCTATACTGGACCCTACTATGCAATGTCTCCACTATGCCGCGACCCCACTGTACTACCGTTTCTTNATTGTTATTAAAATAGTTAATTAACTCTTTTTTTTCCAATGTTTTTGTTCATATTCTTTGAATACAACAAGAGATAATTCATCTGTCTTTCGAGCACATTCTTCGTCACCAAATTCTATATTCCAACTCCTAACGTCTTCTGAAACACGATAATAAATTTATTACTATTTAAAACAGATTTATAATTTTTTTTTTTTTACTTACTTATCATTTCTTTATAATCTGATGTCTTTACATCATCAACCCACGTTCCTGTGTAATTAGGTCCAATAAATTTTCCCCCGTATCAAAATTCAACCATAGATGTGTTCCGAGATGAAGACAATTTCCATCAACTGATTCATTATTATAATAAAAAAACGGTAGCACAGTGGGGTCGCGGCATAGTGGAGACATTGCATAGTAGGGTCCAGTATAGATTTAATCTGACAGTGATTAAAATCACTATCATAAGAAACGCTTCGATGCAAATCTGTAGATAGTGTTTAATTTTAAAAAATTGATGGATAATTGCAAAAGCAACATCAACTTCTATTAAAATAAANAAAAAAAAAAAAAAAAAAAAAAAAAAAAAAAAAAAAAACACATCATAGTAAAATTAATACCTTCTCCGCTTCGCATCGAAGCTAAAAAAATTAATGATTATTTCAATTATAGGATAGTTTTGATATGGCGAAAGTACCATTAAGTAGCGATTTAGTATTGCAAAACAAATATACAACCACTTGTAAAAGTTTACGACTCGGCCGAATTTTAGAAGATATGGATCTATTTGCTGGTACATTGTTTTTAGTAGTTTATTGTTGTTTATTTAACTAATAATTATTTTATGAACTTTGTTAATATTTAGTTTGGATTGTTCTGAAACACATACACAATCCAAAACTACCACCTGATGTACCTAATCCATATGTTATTGTAACATTATTAGTAGACGATGTGTTAATAAATCCAGAAAGATACGTAGGTGTTAATTGGTTGATAAAAAATAAAGAAATAAATACTTATAATTTGTAGCCTGACTTGGATCTAATATTTAGCGGTATAGTATCTTATGTGGGAAAAACCTCAGTAGAGGTTACTCTTTGGTTAGAACAACTTCAAAATAATGCATTAAAAAGACTAACAAAAGCGAATTTTGTTTTTGTGGCAAGAGATCCTACTAATCAAAAGTCTGTATTAGTGAACCCGCTTAAAGCTAATGGTAAATCTGAAGAAAAAATTATGGAGCAATCATCAAGTATTTTTATAAGTTATATTGTTAAGTAATTCAAATCTTTTTAATTTTCATGAACAATTTAATTTTTGAATTNTTTTAAGAAAAAAAAGTGAAAAAATTTCGAAAATTAGCGATTTTTAAATTTGTAATTTTTTTGGATATTTCCCCCATTTGCGGGGAACGAGGGAATTTTTTTCAATTTTTAAGGGTAATGTCTTCAACTAGATACGATTTGTGATCTTTTGACGAATTTTTGAAAGAAATCGGTCCTATGAGAGCTGAGAAAAAGTGGCAACAGACATAAAAAAAAAAATAAAACACATCATAGTAAAATTAATACCTTCTCCGCTTCGCATCGAAGCTAACATGAAAATTTTTTAAATATATATATAATATTACACACATACCGTATCATTTAACCAAGTTTGATGTTGGCCCGCATCGATCATCGAGTATGATGCAGGATTTTCTATTTCATTAACAATATTTAAATAATAATCAACCATATTCCAAAAATCTGGTAATAATTCTTGAGACTGCGAAAATATATATATTTTATTATAATCGCATAAATAAAATTATTTTTAAATACTTACCATTGTTTGCGAAAGTGGTTCAATTTTCATCTCGTTTAATATTTCTGCGAATTCTTCTTCGCCAAGTACTGGAGACAGCGTTTCACTTCCCATATTATACAGAATTTGTAAAAATTCTTCGGTGTTAATATTTTGTGAAGACACGTTGCTTATACGCTTTTGGTCCAATGACTGTGGTGATTCCGCATACTCTTATTTAATCTTACGGTAGAATTTCAATGATGAATTAACATTTCTTTTGACACTGCGATTGGCTTAAAATTGGTTGACGTTTTAAAAACAATTGCTGGAATGGGTACTGTAAGATATGTAACAGTTTTTAAATTTACTTCGTTATATTTTTGTCTTAAAATTTGCTACTTATGTGTTATTTAAATCCTAACTGTTTAAATTATAAAATAACCAAACTGCGTATTATATACATGCATTTAAAGCATCTAGCGTTTAAATTTTTTACTTTTTAAGTGATATGTAATCATAGAAACGATGACTGGAGTTATAGAAATATGAATTAAATTTATCGTATCTGCTTTTGTGAGAAATTAAAATTTCTTGATAATATACTCATCAAGTATGCAGTAATAACTATAAGTTACATATTTTATTTTCATAAAGCATTTAATAATGTGTGTTTAATATCACAATAAAGAATGAGACGTTATACAATAGTTATATATTGTTATCTCACAAATTCGTTGATTGTATTTATTTGTCATTTGCTTAACATCCTGATTGGTTTAATGTTTGAAATCCTCAATGAATTGTTCCCATATACGTTTAATGATACATTTATAATTGAAGGTAACTATTTCTTTGTACAGTGCTGTTGATGTCTTTGGCAATAACGATATATCCATACTTTTCACGAAGGAATACATTAAATTTTCGGGTAATACTAAAAACTTGTTTATTACCAAATCCTTTACTTTTTCGTAAACTTCTTTACTTTGCATGTACAGTAAGTTGCACGTTTCGTATTTCTCTTTGGTTACTTCCAGGAGACATGACTTCATTTCTTTCAATGCAAATAGATTTTCTTCGGTCAATGATATACGCCCCATTTTTTCTTCTTCACTACCTTTACCCGATATTGACAGATAACTTTTCGAGAAACATTTCGATTTTACAATGTTAAAAACGGAATTCAAATAAATTTTTGATTTACACGATTCGTCCATGAATGAAATAACTTCATCGATTAATTGTAAAAAATTAATAAATTTATCGATATCCATCCAAAAGTACATACTGGGAGATATTATTATTACCACTGAAGAATAACGGTCGTTTAACCATGTGCAGCCGATGTGTATAAATTTTCTCTCTGCAAAACTTAATTTGAATACAGAAGTTCCTAGTACAGCAAAGTCGGTTTGAGATGGATACCTCATAGTCATTTTAACATCTTTCACACCTGCAGCCATATTTATATTACAATCACACACTTAAATACGATAACACAATACTATTATTTTTTCACGTTCAGCCGTGTTTTATATTAAATATTGACCAAGGGCTTATTTAATTTATTGGTGGGAGGAGGAGGTGCTGCTTTCAGGCGTTTAAATGTAAAAAATAAGGAGGTAACACCCTCAAATAACAGTACTGTCGTACATTAAATCATAATACATATAAGAGAGGCGCTAAATAATATATATTATCTGTTATCAAAATAACCTCACTGATAAACACTTATCACACTATCCTATGAGTATAATAATGTAATAGCGGAAATTATATAATCTGTTATCAAAATAGCTTCACTGATAAACACTTATCACACCGTCCTATAACTATAACGCGTTTTTTTAATAAGTAGGAGGAGGAGGTTCCAATTTTTATGTGATAAGAGAGGAGGAGGGATTTTGGGAGGTGGCCCCACAAACACACATCAATATGTTATTGTAAAAAATTATCATAATAATCTTATTAAGAGTTGGGTTATATTAGAAAAGCCCCAAATCTTTATAAATAAATTTAATGTACCGGCCTTGTCTTCCCATGGATAATAAAATAAAATATTTCACGATATTCAAGAAGTTATAAACGAAATAATTTTGGCAATAACTGAAACTGTTGATACATATTAGCTAAGTAATAAAAGATAAATTCTTGCGGTCAAAGAGTGTTATAGATCCATTTTTTGGCATGTGAACATATACACACTAACGGAACAGCTCTTGCTTTATTAGCAGAAGTTATTCTGTTAGAAATAATTCAGACAAGACTTTAGGTGCAGTCAATAATTTAAACAAAAATTTACAACTTTGAAAATTTTCAACTATCATTTGTATCCATTTTAATTTCTTCTTCGATTGGACATCACAAAAATTTCTCGAATCGGTGTTCACCAAATGATGAAAATAATTTAAATCACAAATGTATAAATACATTAAATAAATATGTGTGGAGTTTACGAAAAATAGTTGAAAATGAAAAGTTTGTTGATGTAATGAAAGAACAAATGCAATTATGTGTTTTGATCAAAAATCACTTAAAATACTTAAGCTAACTGTTTTATTCAAATCTTTAATTATAATCATCTATGAAGATATAATCAACATTTGTTTATTCTTCAACTATCGAATGTTTGAATAGATGAACAAACTAAGAATACAGAATAAAAATAATTAATTTAAACTAATAACTTCTAAGGTTTTTTTTTCTTAAAGGAAATTTTTTGGAAAAATAATTTTGGTAACCTAAGAAAATTTTAATGAGGTACATAATCATTATCATTAGTAACGTTTATGCGTCTTTAAAATAAAATTAACTTAAAAATTCTTACAGTTATTCAATACATAGTGTGACTTATATTTATTATAACTTTTATAAATAATTTGTTAAAATTGAAAAGTGAAAACATGAAAAAATATTAAACTGGAAGCAATGCTTGGCTTTGTTACATTGTTTGAATAATATCAAATTTTAGTGAACAATGAATCATAGATTTCTAAATAACGCCTGCGGCCATCAAGGTAGAGCATACAATCTAAAAAATAATAGAAATAAATAATTTTTCCATTTTTTAAACAGTAAAAATTTAGTTACCATGGTAACTTTGAGGTAAAACCGGATCAACAATATTTGGTGCAACAAATACATGATAAAAAGTATTAGTTGTTAAACTTGTTTTAGTTTCAATATTTACTGATTTCGCTATAATTTCAACAACTAACACATTTTCTTTTGTGTAGCAAATCTAAGGTAAAAAAATCGTTTGATTTTGTGTAATATAATTTAAATGTACAGAAAAAATCTTGATTTAATTTGAAAAGTTATAGGAACAAAAAAAAAATACAAATAGCACAAAATAATAATTAATAATTTTAAAAATATATTAATGTAATAAAATTCATTCAATAAAAAATGTTTAAATATTTTCAATATTTAAGTCTATTTTGTTTTATAATTAAATAAATAACATTTACATTTCGTTCACTCTACCCTTCAACTGTTTCTTTAATAAATAGAAATAATATTAAAAAATAAAGTATTATAAACAAGTAAGAATTTTTACATAGTTTTATGAGGTGTGTATATAACTAAATTATGAATAATTTCTAAAGAAAATTATGTAATATTAGGGCAAACTGTGTTGCTGTAAACTAACAATTTTGTTAATTCTATTTTTCCATATTTAACTGATGTGTTAAAAATACAAGTCATATTTATTATTTTGTTAATTTTAGGTCAATTTTTAAAATTTCACAGTAACAGGTAACTAAATAAAACTAAATATATAATGAACCATAAAATTTATGTAGATTATGTGTAAAAATGTATATATGTAACTAATTTAAAAATAGATAAATATAATTAAAATTATAAAATTTGTAAATTTACAATTTTTAAAAATCAACAATGAAATCAAAACCAGATAAGGTCAAGCAAAAAAAACATTCCTTCAAAACAGAAAAATACTAACATCAACAATTATGAACATTAGGGTAGTCCTCTGTTATAGATGTAGCAAAAAAAATTTTAATTTTTTGTTTGTAGGACCCTCTAAATTATATTATTACTATGAGAAAACATTTTTGGTGAAGTTTGGTCGCAATTGGTCAATCCCTTCCCGTGCCACAAAAAGGTTGAAAATTGGACAGATTGAGTGTTTTTATCATTTTTTTGTTGTATTTCGAAAACAAGAAATTACACAAAAAAATGTTCAGACATTAATTTGTATATCTAAACTTGTTCTATAAAATACGTATTTACATATTTCCTCGTAAGTTCGTTATTTAGCGTGTTATATTTAAAAAATATAGAATAATTTAATTATTCAACAAAATCGATTTTTTTTAAATGTTTTATCGTATCTTACGTATTATCGATTTTACTACAAAAAGTGTCTTACAAAATATATTAACAATAAAATTTTAAGTAAAAAAGATATATTGTAAAATTTTGAATTGATTCATCGTTCTTTTTTATTGTGAATTTCATTTCATAAATTGGCAGTAATTACAAGAAATACAAATAAAATTGAACTTTTTTACATTTATATTATTAAAACCATCAATTTAAAAAAATTAATTAAAAACTATTTAGTTAAAATTATAGAAAATTCGTGATTATAAATTATTTCCTCGCATTTTTTATATCAATTTGTGTAGCAAAGAAGCTTATTTTGCAAAAATGGAACATGTTAAGAAACGTTATCACCGTTAACAAATCATTTCAATTGTAATAAATTTGATAACATTTTATTAGAGTTGTGGCCCTTAAAATATTTTCATAGTGATTTATTTTTGTAAGTTTATTAGTATATATTAGATAAATTTGTTTTAAATTTTCGTTAAAAATGCCACGCCAAACAATTTATATAGTCGGTTCGTTAATTAATCAAATTAAAGGGAGTAAGCTACTTTCTTTAAGAAATTGTTTACAAGTTTTATTTTTTATATTACATATTGTAAAACTCAATTTGTCGGAGAGTTGGAACTTGGTGATAGACGAGTATCTCAAAGAAGAAGAAGAGCCGACAAAATTGAATCGGAAGTAACAAAAAGACTTAAGTTTGATACTGCCTCTAAAGAAATAAATCCAGGTAGATAACTTAATTTGTATACATATTGCGCGTATTTATATTATAATTTTAACATACCTCAATGTAAAATATATTTTAGCTACTAGACTAGAATATTTGAGTTCAGAAGAATCAGAAAATTGGAACACTGATGTAATAGAAAATGCTCAACCTGGTCCATCAATAGTTACAAAGACACTTGAAAAAAATACCCATTAAATTCTGTTATGTCACCTCGACAAGTTGGACAAGTGTAAAGGAAGCTTAAACTTATTTTATTTACGGAACAATATAATCTATAAACTATAATGAATATGAGAACTAAACTAAATAATGAAACACACTAATGTGTTTGCAGCTACGTTTCAACTGTTTTATTTAATTACGATAAGTCCCAATTGTACATAACCATAAACCACTGAACCAGTTTACGATTATTGTTAAAAATATATATTTTGATGAAATGATCATTTGACATACGATGTATACAATATTTATAGATAGTATAATTTGTTTGTTATACATTTGTTTAAGGTCAGTGATCGGGACGCAGTGCATTTACTTATAGCATTCGTTGAGAATATTGAATTGAATCCAGCTAATTATATTATAAATCGAACGGCAATAAGACGACCACGACAGTTTTCGTGAAAAATGTGCAAAAAAAGTGCAATCAGATTTTTTAGACTTGCATGTAGATTTTGTTATAATGCATTGGGACGGAAAATTACTCCCTGAATTGACTGGCCAAGGTAAAGTTGATCGCCTTCCTAAAATTGTTTTAAAAATGTTGAGAAAATTCTTGGTGCCTAAAATTCCAGCTGGTACAGGAGTAGAAATGTCATCGGTAATATTTGATACTCTAAAAAAAGTGGGGGCTTAATAATAAAGTACAAGAATTTGTATTTTGTATTTTGTACAACGGCTTCTAATACAGGAAGTTTTCACGGAGCTTGTACTTTATTGGAACAGAGATTAAGCAGAGACATATTGTACTTTCTATGACGCCCTTTTTTTTTTTTGAATTGATACTTCAGTCTGCAATCAATGGAGCCAAACTACACCTTTAATCAGGAACAGACATTGCAATCTTTTAATATTTAAGGTGGTACAAAAATACAGAAAAACTTATCCAGAGTGTACAAAAAAGGCATTAAAAACTCCGTTTGAAAAATAATTATAATTATTAATTTATTATTATACTAAAGATTTCAATGAGAAATATTTTTATAGTAATGCTTTTTTTTAAATCGATTAAAAAAAATTCAATTTTATTTGTATTTCTTATAATTACTGCCAATTTATGAAATGAAATTCGCAATAAAAAAAAAAAAACGATGAATCAATTCAAAATTTTACAAGATTGATGATTTACACGCATTGATACATAGAGATGAATTGCATAGTTTAATAATTGAAGGAATGATAAAAAGAACAAGATCAAGAGGAAGACCTAGGACGAGAGACACTAGCAAAATAATGCAGGATGCAGGAGTCACTTCCTACAGGGAGCTTAAGAATATGGCGAATGATAGAGAAGAATGAAGATGGCATTTATTGTAAAAAATTTGTTAAAAACCAATCTTCGGATTAATAAAAAAAAAAGAGAGAATGCTATTTGAGAATATTCAAACCCTTGACGCCTTAATTTTTAATAATATAACATTGAAAAAAAAATAGAAAGAATCAAACAGAAAATTTAAATGAAATAAAATAAAATGATTTTTTAACAATTACAAAATTTTTCAGTTATTAATATTATACATATTTGAAAAAATAAAAATTTACCTTTCCAATTAATTTTAATTTGGTACCAATTGGTACAGAGTTTCGGAATGTAATTGAGTTTATTGCTCTAGATGTTACTCTAGTTTTACAGTGAACACTCGCTACTAAAAAAGCAAGTTCAGTCGCAACTCTCATCAAATAACCGCCAAAAACTGTGTGGTGTAAATTCCTATCCTTTTTTAATAAAATATATTATTTACTGTTTGATTAATGTTGTATATTTTTACTTACTTCAGGATGGCACAAAATATTGGATTCAATTTTTGTATCATCCATCCATACGCTACCAAGAGGTAAAACTTTGTTCCCTAAAAGTGGTTCTTTGTGATCAACAGTTTTAAGAAATATAGTATACACTAAATTTAATTCGTCGATATTGGGTATTTTATTTAGTATCGAGTCTTGGTGAGCTTTTTTTCTTTCTTCATTTTTTTCTAATTCATATATTATATAATATTAATAACACAAATAATTTTAGTATGGCATATTAGATAATAAAATCCAACACGGTGGGGATGTGGCATAGTTGGTTCAAGTATAATGATATGTGACAGTGATTTTAATCTATAGATAGTGTTTAATTTAAAAAAATTGATGGATTATTCCAAAAGCTACATGATCTCCTATTTCCTTATTTATATCCTGATTACAAGTTTTATGATTTATAAGTGTAATATATAAATAAATATATAAAGGGAAATGGTGTTATTTAAAAAAAAAGTATATTGAATGAAAGAGGGATATAAATATTATTTCTCATAAAAAAATTGTATTGATCCATACACTTTTCAATAAGTTATAGCATTATAAAGTTAAAAATGTATATATTATTTGATATATATAAATATAAATTTTCACACATTATCAAAAGTTTTCAGTAATTGAAACAAATGAGATAATACTAAATAAGCCTTTTATTCTGAAAAAAAAAATATAATAATGTTAAAAACAAATTTCAAAAATTAAATTGTTCATGAAAATTAAAAAGATTTGAATTACTTAACAATATAACTTATAAAAATACTTGATGATTGCTCCATAATTTTTTCTTCAGATTTACCATTAGCTTTAAGCGGGTTCACTAATACAGACTTTTGATTAGTAGGATCTCTTGCCACAAAAACAAAATTCGCTTTTGTTAGTCTTTTTAATGTATTATTTTGAAGTTGTTCTAACCAAAGAGTAACCTCTACTGAGGTTTTTCCCACATAAGATACTATACCGCTAAATATTAGATCCAAGTCAGGCTACAAATTATAAGTATTTATTTCTTTATTTTTTATCAACCAATTAACACCTACGTATCTTTCTGGATTTATTAACACATCGTCTACTAATAATGTTACAATAACATATGGATTAGGTACATCAGGTGGTAGTTTTGGATTGTGTATGTGTTTCAGAACAATCCAAACTAAATATTAACAAAGTTCATAAAATAATTATTAGTTAAATAAACAACAATAAACTACTAAAAACAATGTACCAGCAAATAGATCCATATCTTCTAAAATTCGGCCGAGTCGTAAACTTTTACAAGTGGTTGTATATTTGTTTTGCAATACTAAATCGCTACTTAATGGTACTTTCGCCATATCAAAACTATCCTATAATTGAAATAATCATTAATTTTTTTAGCTTCGATGCGAAGCGGAGAAGGTATTAATTTTACTATGATGTGTTTTTTTTTTTTTTTTTTTTTTTTTTTTTTTTTTTTTT